TACAATGCAGTGGTTAGACAATCATATACTTTCCAAAATACCACGTTCCCCCACCCGCCCCCCATATTTCATGTACCTATCTGGCACTGTACATAGTTATTACAATATTATTGACTATATTTCCTATGCTGTACTTCATATCCCTGGTACTACTGTTTAACTACCCACCTGTACTCTCAATCCCTTCCTGTTTTCACACGCCCTCCCATCCTCCTCCCCCCCCCCGTGATAATGCCTCTTACATGCTCTGAAGTCTGTTTTGTTGAACAGTAATATGGACACTCCAGCTTTCTTTTGATTTGTGTTGGCATTGTATACCTTGTTCATCTTTTTACTTTGAACCTTTTTGTGTCATTATATTTAAAGTTTGTTTCTTGTAGATAGCCGATTTTGTGCTCGCTCTTTTATTTAGTCTGACCATCTCTGTGTTTAAATTGTATGTTAAATTTGCCACCTTGGTATTTGGATCTAGTTTTTCTTCTTCTCCTTTGTCTACCATTTTTCTCTTTTTCTGACTTTTTTGCATTGAGTAATTTTTGTGATTTGATTTTTTCTTCTCTTTGGCTTATTAGCTATTCCTCTTTTGTGTGTGTGTGTGGTTGCTATAGGGTTTAAAGTATATTTCTTTAGCATATCACAATCTACCTTCAAGTAATATTATAATGCGCCCACTATTTATGCTTGAACACTTGTCTTTGCACACTGTATATTTACTCTCATTGAACACATTTTGAGAAGTGGTTTGCAAAAGCTGTTGACTTTTAAAATATATTTCTTTATCTAGATACCTATTTAATTCCATTTTTAATTCTAAAAATTTTTCAGTGGATTTGTTTGGTGGTCTGGGCCTGAAATCACATAATCTGTGAATCATGGTAAATTTATTTTCACAGTTCCTTAATTATGTACTTCTGGCTTTGTTTTGTGTCTTGTTGAACAAATCAGACTTCTAGAAACACAAAATTTTTTTCTTACTTTATTTCTAATTTCAACAAGCATAACCCTGCTGGTTAACTGACAGGTGTTGAGTAGTTACTGTGTGTCGGCAGTGCTCCGCCTGTGTGTTCTCATTTCACTGTCACAACACTGTAAGGTCATTGTCTCCATTTTACAACAAGGAAACTGTGGCCAGAGAGGTTAAATAACTTACCTAAGATGGGTCGCAGAAGAGCTGGGATGTGAACTGTGACTCTAGAGCCTGTTGGTCTTTACCTCTAGACTGTTGTGCTGGTAAGTGTTTAACATCCAGCTCTGAAAATAAGCCCTGGTTTGTCATGTTTGCCAATTTTCATGGTGTAAATACTCCCACTGTGGCTGACTTGGCATCACTGAGCATGGATTTGGGGAGAGAGCCTCATAATTCGTCTTGGAAGCTGGAACTCTTGCCAGTTCCTGTGCACCACAGCCTTTAACGCTACACCATAAGGAAAGAGGGTAATGTTGTTTAAGATATCTAGTTGTTGAGATTCTTTGGTTTTAAGAAACAGAAATCAGCTGGAGCTGGCCAAAGCAGAAGGTGGGATGTACAATAAGGATACAGTCTCAGAGAAAAGGGCGAGGGGCCTTGCAAGGGTGGTGGGCAGCAAATGAGGAACAGGTATACTGGGAGCCTCAGTGGGTGCCTGGTCCCTAACTCTCTGTTTACTGCAGGTCACTGTTCTTGCACCTCTGGCCCACAGGCAGAGCACTACTACCCATTGCTCCTGAATGTTCTCACTGAGGTTCCTGCCACCAGCAGGGACTGACGTCTTCTCTGACTGACTCAGTTAGGTCAAGAGCCAGGCCCAGGTAAGTCGGCTATGGCCATGAAACTCTGGAGGGTCTGTTTGCCTCTGTTCATGATCGTATTGGAAATGTCAGCCTAGATTGTGTAGGACCAGCCCTTTCTTTCTCTGAAATTCTGTTACACTGAAAACCTATCTTCATACTGTGGTTCTCTGGGCTCCTCACTCTTTGGATCCTGATGACTTTTCTAACGTATGTCATCACTGTCAATTTTCCCTTTACTCACTTTGCCATCCTGGCCTTCCTGTTGGCCCTTGACTATTATGAGCTCTTCTTACCTCAGGGCCTTTGTATGTGCTCTTCCAATGTCTGGAAAACTCTCTTGGCTCACAGCCTCCCTTCGTTCAAGTCCCTCCCTTAAAGAGCCCTTCCCTGAGCATCCTGCCTGAAACAGTCCACGCGTATGTGCCTGTCCTCTTGCCTGCTTTATTTTTCTTCATCATGTTTAATATTATCTGAAATTGTATCATGTATTCGACTCTCTGACTCTCATGTATTGACTCATGGTCTCCCCACTGGACTGTAGCCCATGGGTGCAGGGACTTTGTCTTGTTGATAGCTGTGTTTTCAGCATGTTGTAGATACTCAAGTTCTATTCTTTGAATGTGTGATTAAATGGATGAATGAATGAGTTGCAGAAGTATTGTGAAGTGTATGTTTAAACATAAACTTTAACTATTGATTTTATTTTCAAATGGGTTCTGTTTATTCTGTCTGGAATACAATGGTATTTCTTTAAAAATGAGATGTAGTTCAGATTTTTAATGGTCTGACTTTCCCTAATCTAGTCCTTAATGTACTTTCTCCCCGGCCCTCACTACAGTATTCTAAGTAAGGGAGGTTTTACAGTGATATGTGGGAATGGGCTTTTGTTCATTTGAGGCAGGAAACAGTTGATATTAATTATGATTTGATAATCCATATGCTTTGCTGGTAAGAAAGGGAGTGGCCTGAAGAGTGGCGTTTTGTTTTCTGTTTTTAAAGGCTTTGTGCAAACAGGAAACATCCATTTGTTTATAAAACTCTTTCACAGATGACTCCTGAAGACTCATCTTTAGTTAAACCCAAGTGACTCAGAATTACCATCAAAATAGGTAGATGAGGAAAAAATGGCTCTCCACCTGAAAAAAACAGCTGAGGAAGCCTGTTTCCAAAAGCACACCAAAAAAGACTCTTTCTTATGAAAAATTCAGAGCAAGAAGGAAAATATTATTTTCACAAGAGAAAGCATGCATGTGGCCATCGACAAGCCTTTTTTCTTCCCAAAGGTAAGGAGATTTTCAGTCAAAGGAAATTGACAACTTTGCCTCCAGGCTGAATTTTAGTTTTTACCATTATGATTGATTTTCCTTTGCAGCTAACACACTCTGATAGAGTTTCGAAGAATATTTTGAGCTGTGGCATTCTCACTGGTGTAAATACATATCTAGCTCCTGTATCCCAAGCCAATGTCTAGTTCATGCCATCCATTTAGATGTATACATTATAAGAGCTTTTGAAAAAAGGTTGTTTTCTTTGCTGTATTATCAGCTGTGTACATTTCAGAATCTTGGGAAATGATGGAAATGAGAGTGAACAACAACTGCACAGCTGAAGGGAAACAAATGCCTCTCTAATTAACTAGTTAACACATAAGTCAATGAATTCAGCAAACATTTAATAACAAACTCTGTGCCAGATGTTGTTCTAGGATATGGGAATACCACAGGGAGGAGACAGGATTCATACCCTCATGTCGCTCAAAGTCCAGTGAGCTTCTAGAAGGCGGCACTGTCCAATTTCAAGTCACAGACCAGTGTGAAGAAGACATACTTAAGCTCTGCTATCTTCAACATTGGGAGCTGACCACCCCACTTTGTTTTAAGCCTCCTAGATAAGCCATAATATTCATTATGAGTAGGTTGGACTCCTTTCTCCTCTCAAGGGTTTTACTTTTTCAAGAAGAGTGACTGTTCAAACCATTATGTATTTGTAGGAAATATGCCTTTACCTACCACAGAAAAAGTAAGAATACTTCTTGCAAAGAACTGGGAGTAACTATGCCCAGGGATGAGCTAATTACCTTTGGTCCTTGGAAGAAATGTGTATGTTTATCCCCTGACACAGCAGTCATTTTATGTTCTTAGTGACTGATCTGAATGCACTTAATGTCAAATACAGGGGATGTTTCCCTGTATATTTTTTGCCGGGGGCGGGGGGGGGGGTAGTTTTCTAAATAAGGCTTAAAAGGGTGTTTTTGTTTTGCTTTGTTTTCAAGTTTTACTAATATCTGAGAAGTTTCTGGGTAGCATAAAATTATTTTTAGAGTATGCTAAAAGCAGGCCCTAATTTTACACAAAAGCAGCTCTTAAAATTACCTTAAAAAATCTAATTTTTATACATGAAGTAATTTCTGGGCTGAACATTTCTATAGTCCTTTTAGTTTTAAAGAGTTCTAAGGTTTGCATCATGCTAGACATTATTCCACCTCTTCCCTGTAGCCACTCTATTATGAGATAATAAAATTGCTAACTCACAAGAAAGAGACTTGAGCTTAGTCTCTAATGTAGCATTGTGACTTTTCTTTAAAAACTCGTATCAAATCTACTCTTTCAACTCTTTGTTTTATAAGATCTAATTTGCTTTTTAAAAATATGGTGTGGGGGCAAGTATCAAAGATAGACCCCAATGAACCACACTTTGGAATTTGTGTCCTTGTTTATTTTCAGTGATTAGCCAATGAGTTGCTTCAACCAACAGAATGTGGTAGGAGTGATGCTGAGCTTGTTCCATGACTGCTCTCTTCTGCTTTCTCTGCTTGGAACGTTTGCCTTTTGGAGCCTTGGGCTCCTAACCCATTACCCTGCTGTAGAGGCCACTTGGAGAAACCATGTGCAGAGGCTGAGACTGTATGGAGAAAGGATGAGGCCCAGCTGTCTTGGTGTCCTGGTCAAGCCCTAGCTACTGGATGACTGCAACTACATGAAAGATTCAAAAGAAACCAGCAGAACTGCCCAGCTGAGCCTCTCAACACACAGAAAAGTGAAACAATGCATGGCTGTTGTTTAAGCCCTTAAGTTTTGAGACAGTTAGCTATGCAGCATAATTAACAAAATATGTCACACCTCTTAATCATAAGGCTCCAAATAAAAAGAAAGTGAATTGGTGTTCTCAGAATAATTCATATACTAACTTGAAGAGTATTTATAGGACAGTAAGCATTCAGTAAGTATTCAATGCACTAAGTATCCCGGTTAGTGAATAGCATTCTTATTCTTGATCAAAAAACTCATCAAAAACTGGGATTCTCTCTGTCCTGGTCCTCACCAGGGCTTGTGGTTTCTTCTTGATATTACCTAACTCATCTGAGTCAGAGCTAGAACTGTCCCAGAGAAGCTGGCCCTGGGCCTCACATTCACGGAGCCATGTTTCCATTTTGCCAATTTTCCGGGGACAGTAGTCATTCCTTGCTTGATTTTCTAAAAATTGTGCATCCTGTTGATTTCCTACAAAAAAAAAAAGTGTACTTAATTTAGCTTCCCCTGATAATGTTCTATTTGTTTAAGTTCCTAGGTTTTTATGAACACAGAATAATCTGTTTGGTATTTTTAAAAATATATATACATATAAAGGATTCCAACTGAGGAAGCATTAAAAGATGTTTTTCTTTTCATTCTGTTAAAAATTTAAATTTTCTGAAAGTCACAAGAATAGTCTACTACATCCCTGTGTACTGCAACCCATCAACAACATTTTATCACAATACTGACATGCAGTGATATATATTGCAATATTTACACACACACACACACACACACACACACACACACACACACACGTTGCTACTTCTCAGCAGAACCACTTGAGAATTAGATGGAGAGTTACTTCCCTCCCCCACATACATCACCACAAATCTCCCAAGAACAAGGGCAGGAAGGAGAAAAGAAGAAAAAGGATAGGGAATTATTCTTGAATTAAAAAAGACAAACAAGAAAAAAAAATGCAATGTATGATCCTGGATTGGATCCTGGATCTTTAAAAGAAAGCACAAGTGGGGAAACAAGAAAGCAGGTAAAAAGAGCATTACAAGGACAACCATGGATATTTATATATGGACCATATATGAAAAAATAGTGTATATCCATGTTAAGATGTGTAAGTGTAACAATTGTATAGTGGTTCTGTAGGAAAGTTGCCCCTGTTCTTAGGATACAGCTTAAAGAAAAATACTAAGTAAATAATAGTACATGTGTCCAGATGAGACCAGAATTGCGAAGGTAACATTCAAATAATGTACTTAGGGTGATACTGCCCCTGAAACATATATTTTCACTGTTACATATCAGTTCCATCTTTCTTCATTTTTGTCCGTACTACCATGCATTTATATGGCACTTTACATTTTATATGTGCTTTTACACATATTTAGATTAATTTTTACATAAAACCTACATAGTGACATGATTTATATTCCCATTTTACAGATGTGGAAACTGAGATTTGCAGGTTAAATAACTAGAATTTAGCTAAAATTTCTCTCTATAGAGACTAAATGCACATAGACAAATATATAGTTAATATTTATTGAGAAGATACTATGTACCAGGCACTGTTTTTGGGACAAGAGAAGGTCCCTGCTTCCATGGAGCTTACATTCAGTAAATGTACTATTGGGGCTCAAATGAAAGACTTTGATTTCAAGTCCATGGCTTTTTCTACATACTCCATTCAAAGCCAGGCTTCTGGAAAGGGCAGGAGCCACATGAACATGTTAAAACCCATAAAATTATAAGCCTGAAAGAGTGATGTTTACTTTGTATAAGTTATATATTATTTTATATGAATACATATATAACATTATATAAATACATGCAAAGCGTGGGTGACTTCATTTTAAAGAGGCAGCAGAAAACAAAGACTGATTTTTGTTTCTGTATTTCACAAGAGACCTGAACTCTCATCCCATCTTCTAAAAGAGAGAACAAGAGTGGGCAAAAGTAGCATTAAGTAAGAGGACATGGGTACAGAGCAATCTTAATGAGCAGAACCTGACTAGCAGAGTGCTCATGTAAGATTATGATCTTGGCTACACTCCACTTTTAGGAGAAAGCAAACTGAACTGCTTTTAGAACACATGGAAAGAAATCAAAGATCCTCTTTGGGAATAAATAAAAAAGACTCATTGCTCCAGCATATGCCTACTGCAGTGGTGAAATCTCTAGGCTTTGCAGAGGGCAGCCTTCTCTTGAAAGATAAGGGTGAGGAGTCACAATCTCTCTATTTGCTGCCTTTCCCAAAGAGGTCCTGGATGGAGCTCCAAGTCCCTGAGGTCCTATGAGGCTGTACGAGGGGGTGGGTGGAGGAGCACGCTTGGGAGTCAGAGGGGCCTGGCTTTGAATCTCGGCTCTGTCACCTGGGGGCTAAGAGTAACTCCTCCCTTACTGGTTGTGTGAGGATTAAATGCAGTAATGCATTTAAGGGCAGACCACAGCGCCTGGCTTGTAGTAAGCACTCGATAAACTTCTCCAGGAACAAAATGAAACAGCCCTAAAAAAGTAGGAGGGGAGCAGAGGAAAACCCCCTCGACTGGTGTCACAGTCCTTCCCGTGCCCCTCCAAATCGGAGGGGGGGTCTTCCAAAGACTACAACAATGTTGGTGTTCTTGGCCTGACCTCAAGCCATGAGTCTGTGTCTAACTGTCGCTAAGGCACTTTTCTTGATTGTTTTGCCAATATATATATATATATATTTTTAATTGTAGAAGTTGTTTCTCTACGGGACTACACAGCATATTTCATTCTGGGACACAGGAGTATAGGTTAAATAGATGCCTCCCATAGATTTTCAATTATTCAGCCTCTTCTTATTTAATGAACTTATTGATTAAGCATCTTGTTCCTCAGAGCAGGAGCAGTATCTCTTTCAGCTGGCTATTTTGCTTCTTAGAGGCCCAAGACCTCCAGATGCATGGCCAGCATTTCCTTAGATCTCTTGGTGGTCAGTCTGGCTGAGGTGAGGATTTGGCCCACAGATCAACCACCTGCGAGTGTGGACGATACTGCACATTTGCAATGGTGGGTTTGCCCTGGGAGAATACCGACAGGGAAAACATAATGGGGCTCTAATTGGTGGGACAACATAGCATAGAGTGTAAGGGTGTGGCTATTGGTTGGAAATCACAGAGCAATCTGAGGCTCCGGAGTCATCTGGCCTGGCTGGGGTGTGGGAGCTGGGCATGAGAGTGGCCAGAGATGAGGCTGGGGAAGGAGTTGAGACTTTGTCCTCAGGCTGGGGGAGGCTCATTAAAGGATGTTTTTTTAATTTCTTTTTTTTTTTTTTTTTTTTTTTTTTTTTTTTAGCAAAACTGAGTTGGTCAGATTTGCCTTTTGTAAGATTACTCCACTATGAGTGTAATACATCTACAACTTTATTGTGCATGAGAATCACTTTGGAATCCTCCTAAAATGCAAGGCCTGATTCTCTAGGGCTGGGGGTGGGGCCTGAAATTCTACATTTCTAATAAACTCCCAGGTGATGCAGACTCTGTGGGCCTGAGGACAATGCTTTGATTACCAAGTAGACCAGTGGTTCTTAACTCTAGGTGCATCAGAATCACTACGGTGAGGGGATAAACCCAGGTTGCTGAGCCTCACCCCTGCAGTTTCTGATTCAGTTGCTCTGGCTGGGGCCCTAACAAGCTCCCAGGTGATGCTGGTGCTGGTGGTCTGGACCCCAGCACTTCAGTGCTGGGCTGACGTGGGAGGGTGAGAGCTGAGTGAGGAGCACAGTCGGGAGGCTGTAGCAATAGCCCTGGTAGGACATGATGGCTTTAAGGGTGACATGGCGAATGGGGGAGAGGAGGCAGATTTCAGCGCTGGGTGACATCAGTAAGACTTTGTGACTGACCTGCTGCAAGAGGAGGGAATAGAAGGGCTGGAGAGGCCCCAGATCTCCGGCCCGAGTGACACAGGGCATGAAGGCCTCACTGAGACAGTGGGTATAGCTGCGGCAGGCCTGGGCTCCGTTTTGAACACTCTTGAGTGTGCTGGAGGGGGACAGTGGGCTGGCGCAGCAGTGTCTGCATACGACAGCACTGGGCTGGCTGATACCAATTAGCTGTTTAGTAGTTTCTCCACACGCTTCATTCTTTTTCACCACAAGATGAGGCTCTTTTGCCTTTTTTCTCCTACACATGGTGGAAGGATTGCCAATAATGCACATAAAGTACAGTAAACCTCTAAAAGGAAAGAAACATCTTACTGCAGTGCTTAAACTTCTGTCTTTTTTTCTTGGCCATCAAAATTACATAACATGCCTACTATATTCTGGGAGATAAAATATCAGCAGGGAACCAAGGCTACTTGCTGGCCTTTCCCTCTGCCCTCCCCCCCACCCCCTGAAGTATATCTGACGTTGTTCTAAACAGTTGAATATTTTATTTTACTGAAAAAATTTACATGACTCACCTGCACTTGGGTTTAAGGTTTCATCAGGCACCAAGGTTAGAGAGTCACCATGATCATTTCTTGGGATGCTGTGAAGGATTTTCTTGGCTTTATGTTCCCGCAGTTTCTCCTTATTAGTCTTTGCCTCCTTGTGCAGGCTTTTCTTCAACTCCATTTGGGTCTGAAAAGGATCAGCTATAAATGGTTAAAGTTCTTCTTCCTACCCCCCGCCCCCCCACCCCCCCCTACTATCAGCCACTTTACAAGTTGGGCACTTATTTATGGAAACCTGTGGTCCCCTAATCAGTACATGGTTCTCTTTTTCCTATTAGAAGGCACAGAAACTTTCTTTCTGCACAGGTTTGTTAGGAGAAGGGAAGCTATGCCCTCAGTCTCAAAAAGGTGAGGACATTTGTAGAAGTAGTTCTCTGTGGGCTAGTTGATGCATTTGGAATTGCAGAGAACATTGATTTTAAGCTTATTCACAAGAGTGAGAAACTTGGAATATGAGAGTTAGTGGAGCCATTACTAATTATTTATTATTTGCAAGGGGGTTTGTTACAAGAGGTCTTTCTTGTAAGATACTTCTGTGGCATAAATTGTAGAGAGGCCTAGGTATTAAAATAAAGATGGATTCACCCCCTTCCCTTTTACTAAACCAACAAAAATGAATTAATCGCAATTTTCTGCTGGAGCCAGAATGTCATAGTCAAAAAAGAGAGACTGGAGACACAGATACAGCCCCTTGAGGACTGAAGAGAGGAAAGACTCAGTTGGTAACAGAAGAGATCTTTCTGGTTCTTTCCAGCTCCAGTAGTCGAACCTTTTGGATCCAATGACTGAATTTAAGATGCTAGGTAAAGATTGCAGGTGAATGCCTAACTATATTCATGTACAGGGCAGGAATTTTATGGAGTGAATTTGGTAAAGGTGAAACTCTTCTACTCTCATATTTACCTCTTGTCTTTTACGGTTCATTTCCAGCATTTGCATCTTATGTAAATATTGTCTTTTCCCAGAAGTATACATTGGAATTTGCATCTTCTTTTCCAATTCCTGCTACAAAAGATGACACATTTGTTAATATGAGGTAATTAATTACTGATTCTGCCATCTACAGCTTGAAATCCTTTTTGGAACAGAACAAGATCAACCCTCAATTGTAATTCAAAGAGATTTCTTATGATGTCAAAGGCAGACCCTTGCAGTTCCCCAATAAGTCCTTTGTGTAGCTATCAGTGAATGAAATGGCAATTTGCAGTGTGTGTGTTGTAGTTTTTAAGGTTCCTATAGCGTTTTGCCGACCTTGAATGGACATATCTTTTGATATCCTCTCATTTTGACAGGATATCACTTCTCCTGGGAACAGATGCTTATTACTAGCTTCCCAGAAATGTTTTCTGGTTTGATGAGACTTGCCTCTCTCTCTTTCCCTGTCTCTTCTACAACTGACTAATTGTCTAGCTGTGAACTTAGGGGAGAGCCACTGAATGGTTAAATGAAACCTATTTTTATAGAGTGTTCCCCCGCTTACCAATCTATGCCCTGGTATATTGCAGCTGAGGAAGGACTTGAGGTTGATTATTTGTGACTTTGCTGCTCTCCCCCTGGTGAGTCATAAGCTCCAATGAGACAGTGCAGACAGTTACAGAGGGCAACCAGGGGTGAGTACACCCTCATTCACCACCAGCTGTGTTCAGTGATGTTTTATGTTGCCCTGTGGACCGTGATTGTGTTCGCTGATGTGAGTGTCAGGGAGGGCCCATCTCCCCAGGTGCTGTCAGCATCACAAACATGGCCTGGGGGATCCAGAAGTACCTGGACCACCTTCCACCAAATGAGCCAGTGCACAGCAGCATCTAGCTGCCTCCAAAATGAATCAGGAATGGAAAATGTTGAAAATCTTCTCCTGCCTCACATTTTACATTTCTACCTGAGGGGAGTTTCCTCAGTAGAGGTGACTAGTTTATAAAAGGAGAGAGCTCTACAGAAGACCGTTTCCAGGATTACTTTTTGGTGTATTTGTGGTGAACAGGTCAGGAACAACTCATAGCTATGATTTATCCAGAAAATTAAGAACCAAAAGAAAGAGTTAGCCCAAGAGGAAGAAATGAAAGAGGGGAGGTATGCTGGACATTTCTACAAATTTGAACACTTATAGAATCACCAATTTCCAAGTAAAATTCCTCTGTCTCATCTATGCCCCCCTCTTTCACCAGGAGGCAGGGAAGGTCCCCAGGTTCCCTGGAGAGGCAAGAGCAGGTCCCAGGTGGAAGCAGGCCCAGGAGAAGATGGATGGCTTTGGGAAGTTCTAACTCTGAATGACGCATTAGTCTGATTTGTCGTGAAGTCTCCTGTGCAGGGAGAACATGAAAAGGACAGCCCACCCCCCACTTCACCACTGCAGTTCACCTTTGCTTTGTGAGTTCTCCTGGCTTCTTGCTGGCTCAGGATCCTTTCAGAAGTAATTACTTGCGGCAGGTCAATGGGTTCAAGCTTCTGGAAGTCCAACATTTAGAGCATTCAGCATTCCTCATGCCATGAGATGATGAAACATAAAAACCAGACATTAAACTATCTTAACACCTTGCGAAAGCAGCGCTTGCTCCTGAGAGCACACGGAGAAGGTGATTTCAACAGGATTACAGTCATATCTGTACAAAAGGCTTTTCAGCCTCTCTGGGTTCTTTATTGTTCTATGGCACTGTTGTCAGTGACTTACTGATCTAAATATTGGTCAGAGAGTTAAAAGACTAAGAATCCTTTTCTATCTGTATTGTGGGCCCACATCCAAAGTAATCAAACAGTGAGGATTTTAGAGTATGAGAGATGAAAAAGGCACCAGGAAGTTACTTTATTTTATTCATCTCTTAACCACCGAGCTGAACGCTTCTGTCCTATTTTTAAGATCTCCAGAGAAGCTCCCTTAGCCTCCTCAGTAATAATCAGTGGTGCTTATGAAGCTCATGTACAATGAAAGTACAGTGTGCTCACAGCTTTTAGGCAGGACTTTTTCTAGCAAGGGCTTGGCTTTTACCAGGGAGGTGACGCTGGGGTTCCCAGGGGTCACTAAGACTGGGCGGCAATGGTTGAACCGGTGGATCTGCCTCTGGCCCTACTTGCCTCAGATGACTTTGCGCCCTGGAAGCTAGAGCACTGGGCAGTGACTGAGTAGGCTTGGGACATAAAGGCTGTTCTGTTCATGTTGACATGCAATCAAAGAGCTGGGCAGTCATGGAGTTTATTTCTTCTCCCAGTGAGTACTTATTGAATAACTGCTATGTGCCAGGTGTGGGGGTACAATGGTCCACAAAAAAGGGCATGGTTCCTCCTGGAGCTTACAGTCCAAGGAGGAGGCGAACAAGTACACTTTTGCTTGTGTGATTAATGTGATTAAGAATGACAAACTAATCAGTACTTAGAAGAAAAAGTCTACAGGGCAGGGCTATGACAATACATACCTGGAGGACTCCACCTCAGAAATGGGAGGGTGTTATGAATTGAATTGTGTTCCTTCTCCCAAATTTGTACGTTGAAGTTCTAATACCCAGGACCTCAGAACGTGACCTTATTGGGGGATAAGGTCCTTGCAGATACAATTAGTTAAGATGGGGTCATACTGGAGTAAGGTGGACTATTAATTCAATACGTTGGTGTGCTCATAAGAAGAGGCATTTGGACACAGACGCATACACAGGGAGAACACCATGTGACGATGAAGGCAGGTATCAGGGTGATGTTTCACAAGATAAGGAATGCTAAAGACTGCCAGCAAGTCACCAGACCCTAAGAGAAGGCATGGCACTGGCTCTTCCTCACAGCCCTCAGGAGAAACCAGCACTGCCAACCCCTTGGTTTCAGACTTCTAGCTTCCAGAACTGTGAGACAATGCATTTGTTATTTTAAGCCACGTGGTTTGTTATACTTTATGACTGTAGCCCTAGAAAATGAATACAAGGGGGAGACGGGCAAGGAGGCCATCCACGAAAGTTTCCTGAAGAAGTAATCTTTCATCAGAAGTTGGCAGGTTGGGAGTTTTAAGAGGACTGAGGCGCTCCAGGCAGAGGGAACAGCGTGAGCAACAGCCCCGAGGTAGGAGAGTGCGCGAGCTGTTGAAGGAACTGCAGGCAGTCGGTGGGCTGCCACCAGAGTGAGAGGAAGCGCAGCAGAGACGAGGCTGGAGCCGGAGGCCGGGGTCAGCTCATGCCGGCCTGGTGGGGGAGGATCAGACGTTCATGTTCTTAAGACCATGGGCAGCCACTGGCATGTGTTAAGCAAAGTAGTGGCATGATTACATTTGTTTTCAAAAAATGATGACTGTGACTGCGGTGTGAAAATTAAACTACCAAGAGCAGTTTGGAGGACAAAGATGGTGGGCTGGGGCTCATGGAAGGACACAGATGGGCCCCACAAATACTAAACACTGACCAAACAGGATTCGTGGTGGCTGGTAAAGGAAAGGGAAGTATCCAGATGACATTCAAACGTAAGGACAGATAGTGTTATCGGTCCCTGAGATGGGGAACCCTATAGGAAGACCACGTTTGAGTGGAACATAGCAGGAAGAAACAAATTTGGTTTAGAAAAGATTGCATTTGAGAAGCCTTTGGACAGACCAGTGTAGATGTTGAGTAGGTAATCAGATATACAGGCACGGAGCTCAGGGGACAGGTCTGTGCTGGAAATGCAGATGTGGGGATCGATCATTCCTGGGTAGAGAAAAACTGAAACTATAGTCATGGGCGAGGTCAAGAGTGAAAAGAGCAGAGCCAATAATCCAACTCCGAGGGGCTGGTGAACAGGGACGAGATGGCCAAGGAGTCTGCAAAGCGATGGCTCAGGAAGCAGGGGGAAACCAGGACGCCACGCTGCTGCGCAAACGGTGTTAGCACTACTCCCTCAGTCCAACACGAGAGGCAAATGCTAACATACGTATTTTGAAATTTTTTTCACTGCAGCCTGATTTGTTGTGTTATCAAGGGGTAATCCTAGAAAACAGGGTGGCTTTAAAGGGTGAAAAGAGAGAAGGAGAGACCACAGGAAATGGATGCTGAGCATCCAGCACTCGCGGTGGGAGTATGACAGGTGCTCCCTGCTACTTCCCTGCGGAACACTTTCCTGGTCCCTGCGCTGGGCCTGAGCTCTTCTCGGGAAGGCAGCCAGCATTTCTTTCTGCTGGAGCAGCCTAATGTGAGGAAGTATTTTCTGTTTGTTTTTTAACATAATGACTTACCAAGGAGGTAATGAGAGACGATCAATACTAGTCAAAGAGGTTTGTCCGGCCCTCTTCTCTGCAGAACATAAAGGTGCCGGGCAAATGGGACCTGCTACACAGGAAGCAGCAGCTGGTGCTGCGGGGAATGGAGTAGAACAGGAAGGGGAAGAGAGACCAAGGGCAAAGGGATATCCAGGCACCTATGGACCGGAGAATCAGTAATGACGAGGGGTGGTTTAGGGTTGAGGAAGGAACAAGGAAGCGTTTATGTCATCCCCTGTCTTGGTCCACGATTCAGTTCTTTCTGGTGATTAGACCCATATGCCTTTGCAGCCACTGCTGTCCATCATGCTCAAGGTCACGATGTGTCATCTTATTCAATCATCATGGGAACTCTATGGATGATTATGATGGTTCCCCATGTCAGAGAGGTTAATAACATATCTGAAGTTGCATAGCTAGTAAGTGGCAGCTCAGGATTGAAGCTCAGGTCTGTCCAGTTCCAAATTTCATGCTTTTTTTCTCTACTTGTTCCTATACCTGGTTTATCATTAGAAACTCTTGGAATTAAAAAAAAAAAATCTTGAGCTATTCATTGGGGATTGAGATTCAATAGCTCTGAGCTATGACCTGACAAAAAATACTCGTATATATAGTATATATACTTGTATGTGTATTTAATTAATAAATTTTATTTTTTTAAAGCATATTCAGGTTCACAGAAAAATTGAATAGAAAGTATAGAATTCTCATATACCTTCTGCACATAAATCCCCTGTCCCACACCAGAGGGGCACATTTATTATAATTGATAAGTCTACACGGACATATCATTATCACCCAAAGTCTTTAGTTTACATTAGGGGTCACTCTTGGTGTTGCAAATTCAAATGGGTTTGGACAAATATATAATGATGTGAATTTACCATTCTAGTATCATACAGAGCAGTTATATTACCCCCCAGATCCTCTGTGCTCTGCCTGTTTATCCATCCCTCTTACTCTCCTTACTCCGGGCAGACACTACTATTTTTATTACTGTCTCTATAGTTTTACATTTCCCAAAATGTCACTGAGTTGGAATCATATAGTATGTAGTCTTTTCAGGTTGGTTTCTTTCACTTAGTTTCTGCCATGTCTTTTCATGGCTTGAGAGCTCATTTCCTTTTGATGCTTAATAATATTTCATTGTCTGGATATATCACAATTTATTTCTCCATTCACCTATGGAAGGGCATTTTGGTTGCTTCCAAGTTTTGGCAATTATGAGTAAAGCTGCTATAAACATCCATGTGTAGATTTTTGTATGAATATGTGATTTCAGTTCATTTGGGTAAATGCCAAGGAGTATGATTGCTGGATTATATGCTAAGAGTATGATTAGCTCTGTAAAAAAATCTTTCCAAGTGACTGTCTCATTTTGCATACCCACTAATAGTGTATGAATTCCTGATCCTACACATCCTCGTCAGCATTTGGTGTTGACAGTGCTCCGGACTTTGGCCTTTCTAATATGAATGGAATAGCATTTCATTGTTTTAATTTGCAGTTTTCTAATGACATATGATGTTGAATATCTTTTCATATGCTTAGCTGCCAATATATCTTCTCTTAGCTTCTTATTCTCTTGACACTGTCTTTCATGGAACATAAATTCTTAATTTTAATAAAGCCCAGCTTATCAACTGTTTCTTTGGAATATACATTTTTCAAAACTCTCCAGGGTATTCTGACGATTTCCTAGGGTGAGGCCCACTGGCCTCCATACTGTCTGAACTGAATAAAGGAACTATGTCCAAATAAACCATAGAGGATTTGTTTGTGGAGATTATTGAAAACCCGAGTCTGAAAAAGCCAGCTATTTAAATATTTTCGGCTATTTAAAATAGCCTATCCATAAGTTCTGAGAGCCAGGTTTTTCTTTGAAGTATGAATATATATTTTTCCATTTTCAGCCTCATTTTATCTGAATTTTCAGTTCTGATAAGAGCTAAGTAAGTTAAATAGTAGGTGTTTTCAAGTTCTCTATCCAGGCAATTTCTTCCTGGCCTTTGAAAAGAGCCTGAAGATCCACACTATTTAGCCATGAAGGACACTAGGTGGCAGCAACTAACACTGCAAATGGGATCCCTCAGTTAAATCACTTGCACTTGGCCTGAGAAGCACTGCAGAAGAAATTGTTGGAAAATCGGCTCCCCTAAACAAACTAGTCAAATGAAATTGCCTTGGAATTCTGGCTCCGTGTTCTGTTCCTTTTCCCTGCCTCAAAAACAAGATGCCTCAC